GTTCTTGGGGAGTGAGTGAGGGAACACAGTAAGTAACCATGGGACGCACTCCATGCTGTGACAAAGAGAACGTGAAGAGAGGTCCGTGGTCTCCGGAAGAAGACGCAGCTCTCAAGTCCTACCTCCAGTCTCATGGCAGTGATGGCACCGCCAGCAATTGGATTCATCTCCCCAAAAAAGCTGGTCTCTCTCTCTCTAAATCCGTCTTTTGAGCTCAAAGAATGAAAACTGTGGAGAAATGAGAAAAGGGTTTTGCAGCTTTTGCTTTCTTTGCCAGTCTCTACAAAAAGTTCTGAACTTTATTAGTTTTTGTACCGTTTGTAGGCCTGAGGCGGTGCGGGAAGAGCTGCCGTCTGCGGTGGCTGAACTATCTGAGGCCAGACATCAAACACGGTGGCTTCACTGAGGAGGAGGACAGCATTATCTGCAACCTCTACAACCAGATGGGAAGCCGGCAAGTTTTCAATGTTTTTTTTTTTTTAATATCTTAATTTATTATCCGCAACATTTAATTTGATCAGTATTTTCTAACTTATTTGCATTTTTTAAATTCCCCCAATTTTTTAAGATGGTCAGTCATTGCTTCTTACATGCCTGGAAGAACAGACAACGATGTGAAGAACTACTGGAACACCAAATTAAAGAAGAAGCTTTTGGGAGGAAAGATAAAGAATATCAGCAGCAAAGAGCCCACAATTGCAAACAATGCCAATTTTTTTGGAATCCCAGAAGCCGAGAAACCCCAAGACTCTGCCTTTTCGACGTCCGAACCCCAAGTTCCATCCACATTGCAGATGCTATATGATGTGAATTCTGGACTTAGTGCAGATAACCAGACCATGAGCTTAAACCCTGATCAGTTATACAACCCCAAGCTCTCGGGTTTTTCGGATTTGGGTGCAAGGTCAAGGAGGAATTACAGCACAACTGTTTCATTGTCTCAGGAGGGATCAAGCATTTCGGATACGTCTTCCATGGCTGGGAATCTTTATCTTGATCAGGATTCTGGATTTTTGATGGATTATGGATTTGGTGTGGCTTATGATAATAATGTCAACCATTATGGCATGTCCTTTGGAGACAAAACCAGTGAAGTTGGTCCAACTGGATGCACAGATTTTGGTGATTTCTTTTGAAGCTGAAATTTACAGGATTGATCTGAGTCAAAAGGGTTTGTAACAAATTGGGAAGAAATGAATTGGGTTAGAGAAAACAGAAGCAAAAAGCAGGGAATTCGGAAAGGAATTGGGGAAGGAAAATGGCTAACTGGCTAGCTAGAAATGCTTTAATTTTCTATCTTTCACTTTTTCTAGTTTTTATGGAAACATATAATGTTAATCAAATTTGTCCATGACTAGCTATGAACAATATGCATTAGTCTTCCATTCTCTCTATCTACCATTGTCACATCATCTGTGTATCTCTCACATCACGTAACTGGAATTCTGCGTGTTTGTGTTTGTGCGTTGAAGGTTTCAACTTTCTCAAATTTGCCATCGTTGGGTTCTGAGAAGTTTCTCAGCATGATGGCCTCAGCATGTTTGCCTGTTTCCTTTGTAGGTCAGAGGTCATGAAAGTTGTGTGGGGAGTCTGGCCAATTCAAAGTTCATGTCCCTCTCAACACAATAACCATAAAAGATATTCTGCCCTAGCTGTGTTGATTTTTACAGTCATAAGAGTACATCATGTTTGCAAGTTTGGGACTTTGAAGTGGTAAAAATCAAAGGTTATATATGGTCAAGGAGTTATTTTAAAAAAAGGAAAAGAAATATTGTCAAGAAAGAAAAAAGTCATGAGAACTTTAACGAAAAGCTCCCGGTAATGTTGACTTTAACGAAAAACCACATTTTTACACTAAAAAGTCAACTATGATACTATTTACTTTATCCTTTATTTTGTCCTTATCGTTAAAACTCAAAGTTTTCAAACAATTTTCATTAGTTTTCCTATTCTTCGATTCTCAGATATTTCACCGTTTTCACCTTCCGTCCTACGAATACAGAGCCAAAAAAAAAACAAAACTTGAGAAACAATCAATTTAGACCGAACTTTGCCAATCTTGCAAACCTTTGAAAGTTGAGATTTTTTACTGTGCTCGAGGATATCTCTCTCTTTATATCTCGATTAGATTACAAGAGACACTGAAAAGAGCCGGAGATGTGACGCGGTTGAGTGCTGGAATTTCACTCTCAAGCAGCAATATGAACATATTGTAACATATTTGTCATAAGACTCGCACCATGCAGTAACATAATATTGTAGGCTTTTAATTAGTCATGCAGATTGCAGTGTGCTGCTGAAGGTCAAATGTCACGGTTTGAAAGCTGTGATTCAAATCAATATATTACCTTACATTGAAATTGAAATTTGAATCTTCTCCTGACCTTAGTTTTTGAAGCATAAGGACTAAAAAATTTGCGTTCTTGGTCTATATGAAAGAGAAATTAGAACTCTTGGCAATGAACAAGCAGAATGTTAATGAGAACCGTTGAATTCAATTTGAGTAGTTTAGATTGCTTGATCTCGAGCTCTAGACAGTGAAATTCGAAATGGATCTCTTTCCCTTGTAATATTAGATCAAATTGTTAATTGTACGGTCAAGTACTCTAGAAGTCTGACCATTCAAGAATCGAAAGGACATAATTATTTGAAAATTTCCACTCTAATTTATCTGTGAAGACTTTTTCGTGTTAAGGCTAAGCCATTGTTTAGGCCTCACTAACCACTTCAATTATTAACATCATTATATTTAGTTAGTCATCAGTGTTTTCGAAACCATAATTTTATAAAACATTGTTGTTTGTTAGTCATCACATTAAAATATGAGATTAATTTGAAACGCTAATGAGATTTTCTCAAAAGTTGAACGCTTCATGAACTCTGTCACCTCATGTTTTTTATACAATATTTTATAATGTTTGCATGAGAATTGACGTTAAACTATCTGACATTACCCATGCTCCATTTATGTGAGATGCCCTAATTAGTGTTTATTTGACAAATACCAAAGCTAAGCTAAAGCTTTAATCTGGTGTTTAATTAGGGTTATATTCCAATAAAAGAAAGGTTTAGAAAAATTGGGCTTAAAGTTTTGTTTTCCATCTGTCTCTCTCTCTCTCATGTTTTCACATTCAACTCTAAAAATTGCAACATAATGAATGTTGTTTATCTGCTTCTTGGTGGCATCCTGTCTGCATGAATATTCCCTTGGTGAAGTGCCCCTCGTTTTCGAGAAATAATACTTACTATTTTGGAGATATATCCCATTTTTATCTTTCTCGCTCATCTTCTTATCTGCTTAAGATGGATCCTCTCTAAATCTCATTGTCCGGTGCTCAAGAAGTAGAAATTTCAGACCACTTAAATTGAATCTAACAGTCATTCTTAACTCATTTTGCTGGCCTACTTTCCACAAACTAAGGGCCTGAATTCTCTTTCTTTTTTTTAACAGTCCGAATTTCTTGGTCTTTAGATTCCTAACAATGAGGTCTGAAGTGGATCCAAATTCAAAGAATAAAAACACTAAAATTACTATTTTTTTAAGCAGGAATCAATGAGTTAGATTGGACATCCGTCCCTTTCAAAATTCTAGTTTATGCCAGACAGAGTGATCTCAAGTCAAAGAAAAAAAAAAGATAATCTTATAGATGCCATTAGCAACATGGACAATTTTTGTTGTATGTCTAAAAGTTAAACTCTGAATTAGTAAAATATTTGAAAAACCATATCAAAACTATACAACAAGTTCTTGTTTTTTCTTGTATATAATCATACGATGATGGACTGATGGGTTGATGGTCCTCCACTTTTAATGTTTTGTTCTATTAAGTAGGAGAATTTTGTCAATTGCAAGCATTGTTCACACCAATTTCATGCTTTATAATAAAATGTATTTGCAAACCCAAGTTCTTTATTGGTCATATACATAAATAATTTATAACTTGTGGATTTAGTAGGTGGAGGTATTGGTGGTGATGGTGGGTGGTGGTAGCAGTGGCGGTGGCGAAAGTGGTGATGATCGTGAGTGGTGGCGGTGATAGCAACTGTGGTGGGAGTGGTAATGGTGACCACTAAAGGATGAGTTTCTTTTGTAATTAATTTTAAACTCTCTCGTAAAATTTTGAAACTGACAACTATTTACATGGAATTTAAGCTTAAGAAATGGAAGTCTTGAATTCCATTTTTTTTATTTATATAGAAATTCTAAATATTCATGTTTATGAATCCAAACATAGAGTTGATGTCAATTTATAAATTCCAAATTCTGTCTAAATTTCAAGTTTATTTCTGATGCAGCATATAATATAAGAAAAAGAACAAACTCTAGAACACAATAAGTCTTGTCAACTCCCAAAAACAAGAGAAATCTATGCCTCGTTGATTCTTACGGAATACCCTAGTTGATAGAACATAAGAGATTTAGGCTTACAGTGATTTATAGACTTTATCCACCATTCCATACATTGAATTCATCACCCAAATTAATGATATGCATGAACCCAATTAATCCCAATACAGTGCACTACATGGACTTCCTCGATAATCCTAGTACATAGAATATTATTAAAGCTAAATTTATTTTCCAATGCACTACTTGGACTTCCTCGTGCATGAATCTTATCACAATAGTGCTACTTTGTCTGCATCAATTTCCCTCGTTCCAAAAGGAAGGTAAAGTATAAGGAGCTTCTATGGCATTCAAAAAATGTCAGCATGCACTCGTCTATGCAGATTTTCCCTCGTGTTTTTATAAAGCTAGAGTGCATAGATGACAATTTTTGGGTGCTAATAACATCTCCCAAAGTATAAACCCATCGTTCATTTCATATTATATAAGTATATATACCACGTATCTGTGTTCCAATACCATACAACACCAAGATTTCTTTGTTCTCTGCCATTGAATCCTTCAATATGACCTTACATATTTTGCATGCAGGTAGCCCGGTCATTGCGACGATGTTTACACCTTTAAATATGCATGGAGTTTAACATTGATATTGACATGGACTAAAAGAAAAACATTAACATTGACATAAAAGGACATACATAATTGTATCACTAAGACATAACGTTGTATTCCCATCTGGTTTTTTAGTCATTGAACCGGGATTCGAGGGCCAAACGTTCCCGGTATAGTTTTACAAGTCGAGTAAATTACATAGTACACACTTTTATCTGCTTAAAATTATACATACAGTGTCTCCTCACAATCATCAAATGCGGTAAAAAGGTCTACTGGTCAGTCTGGAGAGTCCGAGAGATTCGCACCATCCCATAGTTTATTAAACGTCTCCTGCTACATGTTACTACTACACGCCGAGAGATGAAACCCGTCAAAATGAATGGAATTAACATAACGAAGGGCGGCTCATCAACTGCTTGCAGAAACACAACTCTTACTCAAATTGCAGCACACGAAAAGATCAAACAAACAAACAATCCGTATAGATAACCAAATGTTTGGACTCGCGCGTTTCAAAATCTTTCTCAATTGTCATAACATGCATGTATAGCGCTTTCAGCATAACGACTTTTTCTAAAATGATATGCTTGTGGTTTGAATGATATGATCTCCGTGGTGTGCAACTACCCTAATTCAACAATAGTTGACAGTGACAGTCATGTAGAGGCTGTAGAGCTATGATTATATTATCGAGACAAATGATCTACCTGATACACGTATATAACTGCTTAAAGTGCCATCTCTGCCTGTAATGCAGCAAGCTCATCTTCCTCACGGTTATTTCTCTGAGGAGCTGGTCGGGTTGGTTGCCTGCCTGCTTCAGGATTTACATATACTGGAGCTGCCGGAGCACTCGTGGCTGGCTGGAGAAGCTCCTCCTCCAATTCAGCTCCTTCTAGTTCTTCAAGCTCGGCCTCCAATTCATCCTGTGAGAATAAATATTGCAATTTGAACCATTGATTTGAAAAAAAAAAAAGCATTGAATTTACGAACTAATAACTTGCAAAGACAATACCTCATCGAAATCAGCTGCTGCACCGATAGGTGCTGACAGTGCCTCCTGAATCTGTTTCATGCTTTCAGTTTGGTCATTGATCTCATCCATTGTTTTCTCCAAATCCTCAATTTTCCTGTAGGAAAAACAGGCCAAAGGTGAGATGCGCTACACAGAACAAAAGGATACGGTATGCTTCAACCTCCAAAGACATGTTCAAAACAAAGCAATATAAACAGAAAGTGAAACGACTAATTTAAGACGTATTTACAGAATGATGCTATAGTTATGGAAATGATGGACCACGGAAACTATAACTTCTACAGAATGAAGTTCAAATTCAACTTACGTGGCCTTGTTCATGGCCTTCATTACAGCGGTTCCACTTCTCAATGCATCAACAGTTTCTGTCGTAGCGTTTGCACCTTCCAGCATTATCATCTAAAACCCCAACACAAAACGGGTCTTCAACAAAAACAGTCAACACATCAAACTTCATTAGAGTTTAAAACAACACAACAAGCACCTGATCGTGAATGCGCAATTGGAAATTCCCAAGCTGTTCAATTTGTTGTTCGTAAAGTCTCTTCCTTTTTAAACACTTTATCGCCGCTGTATTAAAAACAGCAACAAGGTATACGATTTAATAATAATTACCACACAATATCATAGGTTTCACAACTAGGTATAAGTCTGAGTCACATGTCCACTCAATTGCTTCTACAACCTACAGAATTTACTCAACGGAATCTACACACGAATCACGCTCATGATCCCCTATCACGATTTACGCAGAAAAATTCACCTAAGCAGGTAACTAGTGACGACAATTTGTTCTCCCTAGTCCCTCCACCGGAAATGGATAACACGAAAACAAAATTGGAGACAGAACAACCTACCCACATTCTTAAAAGCCAAACAAAATCGACAACAAACAAAGATTTCTGTTCAAATTCAATACAAAACATTCAAATCGTCTACACGAAACAAAGAATAACCGAAAAAATTGAATGTAGACCGTTCGGGTTTCTTACCATTTCGGTTTTTTGCTTGAGTAAATTGTTTAGCTTTCTCAACCTCTTGAGCTGCCTTCTTCACAAGCACTTTCTCCTTCTTCTCCAGCATCTCAAGTGTCTGCAAAATCCCAAAAACCCAACACTTATCAGTTAAAAAAAATACCCAAACAATTACAATCACAAAACCCAATTCATTGTCATAATTTCTGCAAAAAACAACAAAATCGAGTAATAAAAAATCCCCCCCCCCCAAAAAAAAACCCATACATCGTTTAATTTGTGAATCGTGGGCAGGGGATTGGCCTCCTGCTTAGCTTTCCCAAACACCCGCTTGAACATTTTTGCTTCGATCGGTTCCCAGAACAAGAAAAAGCAACCAACTTTAAAAAACCCTGCAACCAAATCGAATTTTTTGACCCACAAATACTTGAAAATATATATTGATTCAATAAAACAACGGTCAACATATCAAAATTAAATTCATAAAAATTAAAAGTTGAACATTAAAAGAAAAGAAAAATCAGACTGACAATATTGAAAACCGCGTTGAAGGGAAGAAGTTGGGTGATTTCTGATGAAGGTTGGACTGGTGAAGAGTAAAGTTGATGACCTGAAGTGGCCAGCAGGATCCTCTACGGATCCTTTTGGTGAGATCATGGAAATCCGTAAATTATGTTAGTACACCGTGTGCGATCATTTTTTGTCAAATAAAATTTATGTTTAATTTTAAATAAAAATATTTAAAATAATTTTTAACCGCACAATGCACAATGTACAATGAACGAATAAGATTGACGGATTATAAAAATCTTCACAAAGAAAGACATTTTAAAGAAAACTTTGAGTTTTAATCATAATGATAAAATAAAGGGTAAAGTGAATTGTACTATAATTAATTTTTTAATATAAAAATATAATTTTTCGTTAAAATGAACAGTAACAAAAGCTTTTATAGTTCTTAAATTTTTACTTCAAGAGAAATGAAGGGAGGGAGATATGTAACGGGCTGTGAGGAAGTTTGTGGTGACGGACGAATAGGATGCTTGGGTTTGTATGTTGGACGGAGTAATGTGACCGGCGGTTTATTGGTAAATAGAGTTTATGAACCGGCACGCGAAGGCCTAGAGGTTGAAGACTGTTAAAAGAAACCCAAGCCCAGTATACTTTGGGCCGGCTGGCTAATTTAACTGTTCAAGTTTCCCAAACCCAATATAGACACCGTAAAAAAGATCCGTAGATTCTCTTGTACGTTGTCGTGTTTACTTATCAGAAATGAGTATGAAAATAAATTGATAATATTTGACTCTTTACGTATACTAAGTTCATTTCTCTTTGAGTGATGACGGTGTCATTATCATTTTGTCGTATAAACGTTATAATCAGAATCGTTCATTCTCTTTATCACCATTCACATACCATCTCCATAAATTTTATTTAATTTAGAGACCGTTTAGTCATTTATATGTACTGAATAAACCAATGATTTTGATAACAAATGACATCAATTGTCAATTTGTTTGATTTATGTAGATGGCTAGACTATGATGACATAGAGAATAAACGAATATGATTGTATTGTTTGTACCATAAAGTAATGCCACGTACCCTAAACCCTTAAATACAAACAACCATCAATAATTCAAATCTCATCCATAAATAAAATCATCTTTAAAAATAAGAAATACATAAGTATTCCCATATATTGATATTTACCTATAGGTGGTTTTTCTTTTAAAAGGGACTAGCTGGTGACTTCATCACGTTAGTCTATTTTCTTGGAGGTCGGAAGACTTGCACAAGTATTTCAGCTTCACCAACCATCGTGTGATTCACGAGTGATAGGAATCGAACCCAAGATATGTCATGTAGAATACGACTTAAAATTCATCCTAATCATTGGGTTAACTCGTGATGGTTATAAGCAGTGGGTTTTAAAATCAAATTTTTTTAATAACGAATTTGTTACTATTTACTACGATTAACTTATTATACAGCTTAGTCTAAATTTCTTTTAGCATATATGTGAGGCTCGTTTTGATGTGCTTTTAAAATGACTGAAAGTGATTTAGAGAAAATATTTTTGGATTCCAAAAACACTTTGTGATTTCTGCAATAAACACTAGTAATGTGCTTATTCTAGGAAGCACTTTAAGAGATTTTTTTTAGAATTTACTTGCATCTTAACTAAAGATTGTTCTAAAAATATTTTCATAAAAAACGTTTTTAATCATTTAAAAAAAAACATTCAAATAAACTCTAATCAAATAAGTATTTTATATATATATATATATATATATATATTTTTTTTTTTGGCAAGGAAAAAGTAAAGCTCACACAAACATCATCGCGGGACCTCGTTGGCTTTACCGGTTCTCTGTCAATTGGATGGGATTTAAAAACCACAAAACAACCACCCCGATTATCTCTCTCTCCCTCTTCTGGCGACGCACGCCAAGATCTGAAAATCCTTTCCGTTCCTTTCTCTTCGACTTTCTACTCAAAGGTCCTTCTTCTTTCTTCCTTAATCTTCTTACATTCCTCCAAAAATTTGACTTCAACTTCTCCGATTCGCTCTGATTCAATCGCAATTTTCCTTCTTCCTATCTGATCTCGCATTTCCGAATTTTGCAGATTCGTCATGGATTTCATGAAGGTCTTCGATCAAACGGTCCGAGAAATGTCAGTTTTTGTTGCGATTTTACTCAATTTTTTTTTCGATTTATTTGATATCAATTGCAATTTAATTGATATTTTGTTTGCTTAATCTTGATGTGCAGAAAGAGGGAGGTGAATCTGAAGGTCTTGAAGGTTCCGGAGATGGAGCAGAAGGTAATTTACTGTTAATTCGGCGAAATTTTTCTTTTTTCATTGGAATTTCTTATTGTGTAACCAAAATTATAGATCTGAACTCGAATTGTTGTATTCATGGCGGATTCAAACACCAAAATTTGTTATTTAGTTTTCGTCCTCAATAGTCATCATAGCATTGCAGCCTTAGATTTTATCCTTGTAGATCCATTTGAGCTGAAATTGTAGCTATGCTTTTGGTCTTTTAGCTTTGAGAGGTCACTGGAACAGGTTTCTACAATTTTGAAATGCCCACGGTCGGTTGACATTAGCTATTGGCTTTAGACTGTATACTTTGAATGTACTAGCTAAACTGGCGGATATGAATTTGTTTTTTCTCATTTCGGGAGCTGGACTCTGGATGATATGATTAACGGCTATGTCCGGTTTGAATTTTCTTTTGGTTTACCGAATTTGTTTCATTGCTGTTATACGGTAGGTATTGGATGCGACAGATAGTGAACCTTGGGGTCCTCATGGCTCTGCATTGGCAGAGATTGCACAGGCCACTAAAAAATTGTGAGTTTCAACTGCAGTGAACTGTTAAGGATTCTTGTTAAAATCTTTTTTTATAGTGCCAATTTCCGGAATCTAGAAGGAACATGTACTTACACGTACTTGCTGATTCTTGTTATCTTTTAGTTCGGAATGTCAGATGGTTATGAGTGTTTTATGGACAAGACTAAGTGAGACGGGAAAAGACTGGCGTCATGTTTATAAGGTAAGAATTCAGTTGGACTGTGCACATATATGCTTATAGAGATCTATGCATACTATATTTTGGCGTCGTTGGGTCATGTGCCTTTTTATCCCTTTCATGTCTGAAACAACTTCTGCATCAGGCATTGGCTGTTATAGAATATTTGGTTTCACATGGATCTGAGCGTGCTGTTGATGACATTATAGAACATACTTTCCAAATCTCAGTAAGGACTATTTCTTTATGGCCTGAACTTGTTTTTGTGTATATCAACTATCAAGTCGAGAATATGGTTGAATATGCTCAAAACATTCTATTTCTCTTTTGTTTTTTCCTTTTGGTGTAGTCACTCTCAAGCTTTGAATATGTTGAGCCAAGTGGGAAAGATAATGGAATAAATGTGAGAAAGAAGGCTGAAAATATAGTGGCCCTTCTGAATAATAAAGATAAAATACAAGAAGTTAGAAACAAAGCTGCTGCAAATCGTGACAAGTAAGCTTATTTTTCTGGCGACTAGGTTTTCAAGTTTACTTCAACTTTTCTGAAATCTTTTGATTAGATTTCATCTTATAAACTATTAGCACGTTGCCAACTTTAGGTACTTTGGACTTTCATCTACTGGGATAACATATAAGTCAGGTTCAGCGACTTCATCCTCGTATAGTAATAGCAGCTTTCAGAGTAGTGACCGCTATGGAGGTCTAGGTGGTACAGCAGCTGCTGGTGATAGTTTCGGCGATAGCTATAGAGACAGACATGAAGAAGACAAGACTGAGAAGTTCAGCTCAAGCAGGTCTCGACGTGGGGCTACAAGTGAGAATCGAGAGAGCTCTTCAAAGAAGGGCTCAACACGAAGCAGGTATTTGATTTTTACTGTTGGTGATAGGCTGCAATCCTTAAACTAATGTGCCTTTAGACTGAGAGGCTTTGGATAACACTTAAAAAGGTTCTTCTGAGACTCAGAACTGCAATACGATGGTTTCTATCACTACTAGCTAATTTTGTCTGCAGCTCTCTCTCACTGATGCACAGACTCTGCCCTCTGTATACAGAGAGACTGAAGCACGTATATATTGCCCCAATAATTTTGTTGCTATGTGATCGTGTTTAGATTAATTTCAGAATGCTTATCTTGCAGGAGAGGGCAGGATGATATATCATCTAGTGAGTCAAAGTCATCAAATAAATCAAATGAAGCTGATACATACAGTTCAATTCACACGCAAAGCCCAAGTATTGCTGATGATGATGACGATTTTGATCCGCGAGGGACTTCTACTACTAGTAAGTACATATGAACTCTGGTGCAGTTGGTAGTTTAGTGTAAAACTAAAAGGAAGCCTTGTGGGGAAGACATCAGCAAATGTTGTTTAGCTGCAATCAATTCCATGCCATTTGTCTTTGTAATTCTTGACCATTAATTGATGTACTGAAGCCATTGAGGATGCTGGTTGTGCCATGGAACATAGTACATCTTTTGTTGAGTTCTACGTTATTTGTTCAAACATATACGCTTTATATGAATATCACTATACTATTGGTTGGTGTAAATTTTCCTGCTTTTTCTTCTATCATATTTATTATGCACTGACATTTAACTGAACGTGTAGTTATTATTGTATTTGCGTGTTTTTTAAATAGTATGAATGATTTATTGAATATAATTTAACATTTCAGTGTGTACTATATTATTTTTAACAGAGGCTGCTGTTGCAAGCTCGAACCAAGTGGATCTATTTGGACAAAATTTGATGGACGACTTCGTAGATGTTCCAGCATCTGTTCCTGAAGAAAAGCCTGTTATGAACAGCAGTTCATCGGACGTTGATCTGTTTGCAGATGCAGATTTTGTGTCAGCAGCACCACCCCAGGCAGCATCTGGAGCATTTGCAGACTCAACTTTTGTATCCGCACCACCCAAGACAGCAACTGGAGCAAGTTCTCAAACTCAGGTCAGACATTCATTTGTTTCAGTTGTGATGTTCACCATAACCAAGAGGGTTTAAATTAAAGCACACCCCATAATTTATGCAAACTTTGAAGAAGTTTTTCGCTTAAGCATGTGAAAATGTATTAGCTGTGGGATTTTGGCAAACAAACGACTGGTTTTAGGGTTTATCCCAAGTGTTTTTTATTACTCAAAAGGGTCTGAAGTTCTTCGCTAACAAACATGTTTTATCATTAATTTATACAGAATGGCTTTGATCTGTTTGCGTCTCAACCAACCCTATCCCCACCGGCTTCTTCAACAGTTGATCTTTTTGCCACCCCTGATCCAGTTATGCAGCCAGAAGCCAAGTCTACAAATGCTGCACCAACAAACACCAACATTGTTGATCCCTTTGCCACTGTTCCACTTAACAATTTTGATGGATCTGATATAATGGGGGCGTTCACGTCTCATTCTGATTCAGCAGCTTCAGAACCTTCCCAAAGTTCTGTCAATGATGGCAGCCACAATGTTGTGGGGAAACAATCTTTAGCAGATTCGAAGACCCCACCCAAGAAGGATTTCCAGGTGAAATCTGGCATTTGGGCCGATTCACTTAGCCGTGGACTGATTGATCTTAATATATCTGGTCGTAAGTACATCCATCTCAACTGAAATATTTCCTTCCATAGCATAATTTATTTGTTTGTACATGAAATTAAATTTTACTTTTTTTTCAAGTTGTGAGTTGAGATTCGGAAAAATTGAGATGGTCTTTTATTTAAAAATGTGACAAGTGTCTGGGTCGTGTTAGGATTAAGGTTATCTGTAATCTTGATATATACGGTCAGGGGTAATTGATTTGAGTCTAATTCATTTTGGGTAAGTGGATTGATTGGGTAAATGTTCGAGTGGGTTTCTCGTGGAAGTGACAAATATAAATCTTCGCTAGTTCTTATTTCAAAAGTTTTATATACATTAGTGTGGGATACAGGGGCACAGCTCTGGTTCTTTAGTAATCGTGTGCTCAAATTATGAGTATTTGCACGTCAATGCATGTTTAGGTCGCTTTTGTGATTGCTCCTTTACTTGATGTACTCGCAGCCAAGAAGGTGAATCTGGCGGATGTGGGAATCGTGGGTGGATTGACTGATGGAACCGATGAAAGAGAGAAAGGGCCCCCAACTTCGTATTACATGGGAAGAGCAATGGGTTCGGGGACTGGTCTTGGAAAATCAGGGTTCCCATCTTCACAAGGAATAGGTGACGACTTCTTCTCAAGTCTCAGCAGCGGCAACCAGCAATACCAATACGGTGGATTCCAAAAGTAATTTCGTTATTTTCCGCCATTTTCATGCCTACATATTCTTTTGCCTGCTCGGCCAAAATATTGGTAGTTGTGTGTTTTGGTGTGCTTGGTTTGTGTTCCTACTCCTCAGCGGAATACTGTGATTCGAGGAATGTATTGATATGAGTCGAGATGATTACAACGCGTTTTAATATAAATTCCAGTGGATGATTGCAAACAGCTTCTCTGATTAAGTCCTCCAATCTTGTGAAACTATGTGGGTAGTAGTCTAGATGTTGATTTTGTCGTGAAACAAGTGTATCGTAATCGGTTTGCCATGGTTACGGGAACACCTGTCTCTATTTGCTTCCCTAATTCCTCGACTCAATTTTCTGTTCGGCTCTGGTGTGCCGAACTCTTGTGGAATTGTTTGGTGGTTGGGTTCAGAATTTCTGTTTCACTGTTCGGTGGTATCTGTTGAGTGGTACAATTTATGGTTTGTGGTTATTTGAATTTTTTTAAAAACAGCTTTTTTAAAAAGTTAGGATGTTAATTATATTGAGTAAATGAAAAGTAAAGTGTTATATTTTTTTTTCCCAAAATTATGGATAAAAAAATAGCAGAATGCAAAAACACTTTTTTGAAATGTGTTTTTTTTTATTGGAGGCAGGCGATCAATACCAATTGATGAAAATTTAATAATGCTAACCCCATCTTTTTGTTTTTGGCTTTTAGCACTATAGTTTATCAAACATAAACCTGTTTTTTTTTACAACTGTTTATTTTCACGTCACAGCAAGTGGTTTTGAAAAAACTGTAACAGTTTTTTTCTTCCAATTTTTGGAATCCAGATCTTCTTTGTGAGGATCTCGGGGATTTGTGAATCATATTCGTTCATCTTACATTGTGCGGTTAGAAATTATTTTAAATATTTAATTTAAAATTAAATACAAACAATATCTGATAAAAACTATTTGCACGATGTACGATGAATAACATGATTTACGGATTCTTATAATCCTCATCAAATGGATCCGGAGATGATTCTGTTGGCAATTTATGTATTCCTGTTCAGAACGTGAACCGCCGAACATCCTGACAGGTACACAGAGAGGGAGAATTGCACTTGCAAGACTTTCTATAAACAATCCATGTGCTTTCCTGTAAAAGCACTTGTATGTGCAACATTAGGCAAATGCTTTAATTTAGGTCCTAAATAAGCAATTCCTACCAAACATGCCTTAATCTTAATTGTCTCTTCGCACGTAGTTTTACATTCCTTCATCTAAATCTACTTTAGCTACTAAACAAGCAATTCCTACCAAACATGCCTTTAAATCTTAATTGTCTCTACGCCCTAGTTTTACATGCCTTTATCAATCGATTTAGATGTCGGGGCTTTGTGTGTGAAGTGCGACTGGAGCACAAAACGGTACATCACATGTCATTATACATTAGAATGATTTTTGTTTTTCCGAGTATCCCTCCAATTATATAATAACATATAGCAGCCGGAAATTATTAGATTGTATTTTTATTTATTTTACAGAAAGGGTTGAAGAGGACATCATAAACGTTTTTGTTTTATGGGTTTCTAGTAGTACTGCACGTCCATCATCTTCCCCCTTAACATGGCTTCTGCTTTCCTCACCTGCTTCACTGGTCCTATGATGAACACCTGCATTCCGGGAAAGACAAAAAAAACACCACATACTTCGATCAATTTTTTGCGTCTACTTGGAACAACTATTCTAAATCATGTAGATTCGATGGACTGACCTTATCCGGCGGACCCTTATCGCTTCCCATGAAAATTTCAGCACTGTAAAATAATAACATAAAAATATAATGTAGGGGGCGAGAAAGAGATCAGCGGAACACAGATAGAGAAGGAGAAACACACAAAGATAGAGAGAAGATTGTACTTGCAAGACTCTTTTATTGACAAGATGGAAGATCCTCTTCTCCCGATAACACGGCCCATCTTTCCCGGAGGAACATCCAGAACTGAAAGGATTTCTTCCTCTGGAGCATTGCCCTCCACTTTAAGGTTATCTGTTAGGAGAAATAACATCCGAATTAGCATCCAATTATATGTACACTGTATAGACAAACTATGGAGGATTCTTATCTGTCAAAAATTAACATAACGAACACTGATTGATGGACGACATGCACATAATTTTTAGTGGCAGAATTAATTGGATTTGAATAATGCAAACTAGCCTCATACGTAAAGCTTTAAGCTTGTATATAACTCAGCATTTTCGAGAACCTAGGTTATATGCATGCAGAACGTTTCACCTCGTTTTGAAGTCTTTAAGTAATAGTTGTGTGGCATACATATTGAAGAAGATTCAAGACCTGGAATAGGGGGGAGAGATGGCCAGTCTGCAAAATTATTATTGCTGATGCAAAAACAGCGGCAGTAGAGCGCACCACGAACTGCAAGTGACCATAATGACTGTTGATTCAATTTCTCCATCATCTTGTAATAGATATACAGAAGAAAGCGGACATCATCTGCAGCTGCGCGGACCATCTGTTCAGATAAAGGTCTGTAGGTCCAAAAGTTGGGATCCTGTACGTATATTAAATAAATGTCATTGACGGAAGACCCTTTTCAAAATGATGTGTAAAGAATTTATGAATCAACATCAAACTATGCAAATTTAAGTTATATGGCCAATGCTCTTTTGTTGATAATCTAAGTGTAAACCACTTAAGAGTGATTCAAAACCTTTTTCATCAGGCTGTAATCTCATAATCATTTTCCCCGTCTACCATCACACCGACTTAACCTTCAATGTATTTTATATGGAAAATCAAGACAGGGAGAAAAAGATAATAAAAGAACTCAAGAACAATTGTTATGATGTTGAAACGAACCTGCCTAAGGAGGAAACGAACCTCTTCCTTCTCAAGATAAGATATTCCTGCAATCAAACTCTTAAATGAAAACTGAAGCCATACTGGGAAGATCTAAACCTAACAATCCAATTCATCATGTCCCCGTATCTAATTTTGTCATCCAGAAAACTTTTGGAATGTAATCAGATAACATTAAATATTTGGGTCCAGTACTTGAAGAATGATCTTTTAAATAGATTATTCTTATGATTAACTTAAACTCTTGGAAGACAAAAGCATCGGTTATTTTCATCAAATCAATGTAAATCCGAAAGCATATGGAAATATGATAACAAACAGAAACTTCAATGGATACCACGAAATATATAATGTAATACCACAATAGCGTGGATCAGCAAGGAGGCCAACGAATGATATATAATCATCTAGCAATCTTTTCCGTCCTTCTTGCTCCTCTATCAGCGAATAGGCAATCTGAATGCCAAAAATAATATTATTATTCTATCTACCATCATGCCTAACAAGAAAATATAGATAGCGAGAGGGCTCCAATTTCTGACAAGTGATAAAAGGATAAACCACATGTTTATAAAAGTTCAAGATCGACTAGGCACAGAAGTAGAAGTCAATGAAGCACCACTATCAGGCCAACCCTCACAAAAAGTTGTTTCTAGGTATTATCAAGGATTCAAGGCCACCTAAGCAGGCCACATATCAGAAACGGTTAAATTCAAATGAAAACACACAGAAAGTAGAGATGTATTTCTAAGTGATGTCAATGTCATTCTAAGCCAGCCCACCATGGACAGGTCATGAAACTCAACATTTCAATTCAGTCCCGATAGATTAAACTTCTCTCCATCTAATGACAGAGGGCGGAGGATGGATAAGGATTCTTTTTATGTTAGATTTGACATAAAAAAATACGTCGAAATTTCTAACAAGTGATAAAGGATGCTCACCTGGGTATCTACAACATTGTTCAACTTGATGCCAAACTGAAAGTACAGGGCCTGAAAAAATAAAACAAAATTCAATAACGGCAACAAAATGTCTTATTAAAAGAAGGTACAAGCTGGGATGAAAATAAAACCAATCAGATACCTCACTATCTCGTTTGCAATCATGAATGACTTTGGTGATATAGGAAGACTCAAGTGCAGGCTTACAGGCATTGATCAGCATCACCCCTCCCTGAATGGCATCAACCAGATATATAGCATCTGGAAATGCAAGCTGGCAGAAACAAAACACTTCCAGTTTATTAAAATAGCAGACAATTAAAAACAAGAGACTGCCTTTATATATTTCAGATAAACAAAAATGCAGGCAAATGCAAGAAATCTAATCAGAAAGCAAAATGACAACCAATTTGGGAAGCAACGAACAGTTTCTCTTAGTATTTTATTGACTTACTTTTCGTAGTTGGCTATTAACAATCTATGGGCCTGTTTGGGACTGCTTTTGATGGCGTTTGCAAAAAAACCTTGAAAGCACTTCGCAGTCATATAAGCGTATTCTGGAGAAGCACCTGCTATGTGCTCTTCCAGATAACTTCCAAATGTTTTTCCAGGAAGCACTTGGATTTTTAATCATTTTGCACTTGTATTTTTAATAATTTCAACTTACTTCTAATAAAAGCACTTCTAATGTAAACGTCTAGAAGCCAAAGTGGTTCCTACAGAAGCAGTTCCAAACGGGCCCTATATATATGCCCTTGCTTAGATCAGACAAACATCTAATAAATGAGACAGGTTGGACACAAATTTGAAGCTGAACAAATATCCACAAAATACAGCAACAATACTAATTACGCAGACCTGCATGATACAGAGAGTTCCATGGCGACAGAGGTCAACTCCCTCGCAGTCGAAACCAATGACAAATGGCCTTTCAGCTGAGGGCTGCAAGAACTCAGCAGGCAGCTGAGATGCATGAGTGACTATACGAATAGGAGCCAATGGCAACTGGGTTTCATGATTTAGGGGTTTCTCACCTGCAATCCACCCAAAAAACAGCTAGTTTCACATAAAATTAAACAAAAAGTAACCAAATTTAGGTCAAATTCATAAACCCCAATTCATAACTATTTAGGGCGACACAGATACGCCAATCAATCATCCAAAGATTCGACATTTTGCAGGTAATTTTTCTTTCCCGCATTTTCCCGGCTACCGAACAGACCAAAATAGAAACACAAAATTGAAATTAAAAATTGAAAAAGGGTAATTGGGGGATTGGATTGGATTGGAGAAGACAGACCTGGGCCAGGCGAGAGACGAAGGTGAGTCTGTAAAGGAGGAGGTACAGAGGCCATGCGATCGGACCATCCACGCCAATCTTTAATTTTGCCTCCAAACCAACGAACCCTGATTGTCTCCCGCTTCACCAAATTATGTTTACGCCCCCCATTTCATTTTCTTTTACGTTTTTCTTACGCGGAAATGGAGAGCCGACATCCATTTTGGTAACCCGACCCGTTATCTTTCGATTAATAAAAAACCCTTTTAAAGTGTACATTTCGATATTGTAATTTACTTTTACGTCTTTTCCAATCTTAAAAGTGTAAACTGTTGATTTGCTCCTTAAACTTTCACCTAACTTTCGATTTCCCTCATGAACTTTTCGATTGGAAAATTGGGCGTGTTTGTTTGACCTTCTTAGGGAGGACTGGACTAGACTACACTAATTGGTATTGTAGTCTGATGTTTGGTAGGGGCAAGGATTAGGTTTAATGGGATTAGATCCGACTCGCACGGATTAAACCCTTCGCTAGCAGTTCTTAGCGAACCACCCCAAAAACGTCCGGATTCGTAAGACCTCCTCCCTCACGTCGTCCTCCTCATCCTCATCTCTGCGTCCTGCTCGCCGTCAGCTGCATCCTGGTCGCCCTCATCTGCATCCTGCTCCTCATCTGTTCCTCTCGTCGTCCGCTCCCTCGTCTTCACGTAACAGATCTGCTCGCCCTCATCTGCCTCCAGTTGTCTGGTAAGCTTCGATTGTTTGAATTTTTTCGTCGATTTGGGTCGATTTGGGCGGATTTTTTTCGTCGATTTGGGCGTATTTGTTTTGGGTTTGAGCTTTATTTGATTCTGCAGTTGAACAAATTTTAGGGTTTTGATATTTAGGTGAAATTGAGATTAGAAATTGGGGTTTTCATAAAGCTTGGACTTTGGGGTTTGAAATTGACATTAGAAATTTGGAATTTGGGGTTTGAAATTTGGAATTTTGGGTTTTCATAAAGCAGTGTGTGTGTGTGTTATTACAAAACATAGCTTGATGTTGCTCTGGCCTTCGATTAATGGTTGATTCTGTGGGATAAGTTTGTATATCTTTTGATTCTGGTTTTCTAGGGTCTGTAGCTTTTAGATTTTAATTTCTTAACCAGTCAATTGTTGATTTCGATTGTGCAGTGTGAGTTATTACAAAACATTGTTGAGTTATTTGATTTAGGTGTGTGTGCAGTGTGTGTGTGAATGAGTGTGTATGCAGTGTGTGTGTGTGTGCAGTGTGTGTGTGAATGAGTGTGTATGCAGTGTGTGTGAATGAGTGTGTATGCAGTGTGTGTGTATGCAGTGTGTGTGTGCAGTGTGTGTGTGCAGTGTGTGTGTGTGTGTGTGTGTGAGGGTAAGAGTGTGTTGCACTCTGTCCCCGTGTGTGTGTGTGTGTGACAGTGTGTGTGTGAGTGTGAGTGTAAGTGTGTGAGTGTGAGTGAGTGTGAGTGTGAGTGGAGTGAGTGTGAGTGTGTGAGTGTGAGTGAGTGTGAGTGTGAGTGTGAGTGAGTGTGAGTGAGTGCAAGGTGTATGCAGTGTGTGTGTTTGTTGCACTCTGTCCCCGTGTAGTGTGTGTGTGTTGTGAGTGTGACAGTGTGTGTGTGTGTGAGTGTGAGTGTGAGTGAGTGCAAGGTGTATGCAGTGTGTGTGTTTGTTGCACTCTGTCCCCGTGTGTGTGTGTGTGACAGTGTGTGTGTGTGTGAGTGTGAGTGTAAGTGTGAGTGTGAGTGAGTATGAGTGTAAGTGTGAGTGTGAGTGAGTGTGAGTGTGAGTGAGTGTGAGTGTGAGTGTGTGTGCAGTGTGTGTGTGTGTAATCAGTGTGTGTGTGTGTGTATGCAGTGTGTGTGTGTGTTAGTGTGTTGCATTCTGTCCCCGTGTGTGTGTGTGTGTGACTGTGTTTGTGGGTGAGTGTGAGTGTAAGTGTGAGTGTGAGTGTGAGTGTGTGTGCAGTGTGTGTGTGTATGCAGTGTGTGTGTGAATCAAGCTGTATGCAGTGTGTGTGTGAATGAGTATGTATGCAGTGTGTGTGTGTGTGTGTGCAGTATGTGTGTGCAGTGTGTGTGTGTGTGTGTGTGAGTGTGTATGCTGTGTGTGTGTGTGCAGTGTGTGTGTGAATGAGTGTGTATGCAATGTGTGTGTGAATGACTGTGTATGCAGTGTGTGTGTATGCAGTGTGTGTGTGTGAGGGTAAGAGTGTGTTGCACTATGTCCCCGTGTGTGTGTGAGTGTGAGTGTGAGTGTGTGTGCAGTGTGTGTGTGTGCAGTGTGTGTGTGAGTGTGTAAGCAGTGTGTGTGTGCAGTGTGTGTGTGAATGAGTGTGTATGCAGTGTGTGTGTGCAGTGTGTGTGTGTGTGTGTGTGTGAAGGTAAGAGTGTGTTGCACTCTGTCCCCGTGTGTGTGTGTGTGTGACTGTGTTTGTGTGTGAGTGTGAGTGAGTGTGAGTGTGAGTGTGTGTGCAGTGTGTGTGTGAGTGTGTAAGCAGTGTGTGTGTGAATGAGTGTGTATGCAGTGTGTGTGTGTGCAGTGTGCAGTGTGTGTGTGTGTGAGTGTGAGTGTGTGTGAGTGTGAGTGTGTGCAGTGTGTGTGTGAGTGTGTAAGCAGTGTGTGTGTGCAGTGTGTGTGTGAATGAGTGTGTATGTAGTGTGTGTGTGTGCAGTGTGTGTGTGTGTGTGTGTGTGTGTGAGGGTAAGAGTGTGTTGCACTCTGTCCCCGTGTGTGTGTGTGTGTGTGACTGTGTTTGTGTGTGAGTGTGAGTGAGTGTGAGTGTGAGTGTGTGTGCAGTGTGTGTGTGTGAATGAGTGTGTATGCAGTGTGTGTGTGTGTAGTGTGTGTGTACTGTGTGTGCAAGGTGTATGTAGTGTATGTGTTTGTGTACTGTGTATGCAGTGTGTATGTATGCAGGGTGTATGCAGTGTGTGTATGTATGTATGCACTGTGTGTGTACTTGCAGGGTGTGTGTGTAGTGTATGCAGTGTGTGTGTGTAGTGTATGTAGTGTGTGTGTAGTGTATGCAGTGTATGTAGTGTGTGTATGTATGTACTGTGTTTGCAGTGTGTATGTATGTACTGTGTATACAATGTGAATGTTTTGTATTGTGTGGGGTTGATGCTGAATTGCAATTTGTTGTGGTTGTTGGTTGCAGAGAAGATGAGCATAAACGGAAGGCTAAGGCTAAGGCTAAGGCTACTGCATTACAGGTGTCCTTTAATTTCCCTTTTCACATGCAATGCCTAGCAATGATAGCAATCCTCATACTAGTGTTCTTAGACACATGTTTATAGATGTATAAGAGTAGAACATTTTGAATATGATGCCTCGGGTTAATGAAATTTTTTTTTTTCAACGCCACCTGTATATTTGTTGCCTCGGGTTAATGAAATTTTTTTTTTTCAACGCCACCTGTATATTTGTTGCCTCGGGTTAATGAAACTTTTTTTTTTTCAACGCCACCTGTATATTTGTTGCCTCGGGTTAATGATAACTTTTTTTTTTCAACGCCATATGTATATTTGTTGCCTCGGGTTAATGATTTAGTTAATTTGTTTTTTGTTTTTTTTTTGTTTGGATAGATATGGATCGAATGAAGCTTTTATTGATCTTATTGTTAGAGATGTCTTATTTGGAGACAATTTGTATTTGTACGATTCTTGTGGTGATGATGCTACGTGGCAAACAGAGACATGTTGAACGACCCACATTGACTAACCGTTCACTTATTAGACGAGAGATTAGTTTGTGTTATCTGAATGGTATAATAGGGAATACTGATACTGAATGTGTTAACGAATTGAGAATGGATAGAAGGACTTTTGGCATATTATGCGACTTACTTCGTCAAGATGGGAGGGTAAAAACTGATGGTTTGGTGTCTGTAGAGGAACAGGTGTGTATGACTTTACAAATATTAGCACATCATACTAAGAATCGTAGTGTTGGCGGTAGATTTTATAGGTCGGGAGAGACTATAAGTAGGTATTTCAATAGCGTATTGCAAGGAATTTTGCGATTACAAGGTATCCTACTAAAAGTCCCCCAGCCTGTGCCTATTGATTCTACAGATGCTAGGTGGCGATGTTTTAAGGTATGATGAGAAATATTTTTCATTTTCCCTAAGCTTTAACTCTTCATTCCCTTTGTATAAATTAACAAAAAGTTTTTTATTTTTTATTTTTAAGAATTGCTTGGGAGCATTGGATGGAACACATATTGATGTGCATGTACCTGAAATTGACAAACCAAGATACCGAACAAGAAAGGGTCGAGTCGCAACTAATGTGTTAGGTGTGTGTTCAGGAGATATGCAGTTCATATATATGTGTTTCCGGGGTGGAGGGTTCCGCATCAGACTCTAGAGTGCTACATGATGCAATTAGTAGGCCTAATGGTTTTAAGGTACCAGCGGGTAAGACTATTACTTAGTCTCAAACTTTCTAAGTTAGGTTTGGTTCTGTTTGTCAACTACAAAACACTAATAAGGTCTGTTTTTTTTTTTCATTAGGTTGTTATTACCTTGTAGATGGTGGTTATACAAATGGTGAAGGATTCCTTGCACCCTATAGAGGAATACCTTATCATTTATCTGAATGGGAGGGACGAACACCTTCTAATAAGGAAGAATATTTTTAACATGAAGCATTCTAAGGCAAGGAATGTAATTGAACGCTGTTTTGGCTTGCTAAAAGGAAGGTGGTCGATACTAAGGAGTCCATCTTTCTATCCGATAAGGACACAAGGTCGAATAATTACCGCTTGTTGCCTACTACACAATCTTATTAGGCAAGAGATGTCAGTAGATCCAATGGAGAATTTGCCAATAATAGAAGATGGACAAAATACAGAAGAAGGTGAATATGTTGGTAGTGTTCAATCATCGGACCAGTGGACTGCAATGAGGAATGATATGGCTCAGGAAATGTATAATGAGTGGAGAGCAATTAGGAACCAGCAACCGAACTAGCTATATGTTTTAATGATAACATTTTATTTTAGTATTCCTTTTTATCATGCATTTGTTAGATATTAGCACAATGATTGGATGATATGCAAATTAATTGGATATTATGCAAGTTGATTGGATATTATGCAAGTTGATTGGATATTATGCAAATTGATTATTTATATGGTATTTTCCTTCATTAAAATATTTTTTG